CAGCCCGGTAAATCCGCTCTCAGGCTTTGGTCATTAATGTCTTTGGCTTCTGGGCAACTTTCCCTTTCTTGCTGCTGTTGAGAATTTCCGAGATGCATTGGACTATAGACCACCCTCCTTGTCATTCCCTCGTGACGCATGATATACAAGGGAGAAGCATAATCAGAACACGCAGCATCAAAACAAACAATGCGCCTCAATCACGCTCCACAATAGGGACTAAATACCACCATCATCTCTCAAACACCCAACAGCCTCGCAACCTCCTCAAACCCGCCCTCCCCCTCCTTAACCCAAATATCAACCCACCCCTTGGCATCCTCGTACCTCTCGCTCCCAACCTCCCAATCCTCCTCCTCCGGCCTCTCAACATAAACAGTCCTCATCCCCCGTCCCCGAGCAGCCATCAAATCCCCCAAATGCGCCGCCACCATCGCAACCTCCCTCGCCTTGCCGCCACCACTACCGCCGCCGACCAAAGCCTCCACCGCGCCATCATAAACCGCCGCATGAGGCTTATACGCCCTGAAATCCTCCGCCGACAAAATCTTCCTGAAACCGAGCCCGCCGAACGCATCCAGATCGCCCAACAGCGTCCTGTTGCCGTTGCTCAGCGTCGAGGTGACGTATTTCCCGCCCAACCTGCGCAACCCTTCCACGGAATCCGCCCATGACCGGAGACGGTGCCACACGAGACTCAGCTCGCGGATTTCTTCGGGGCAGTACACGCCCTCTAACCCCCACGTCCCTAAAAGCTCGACGAGGCTGTCGTGGTGGTGCGCGTCAATGTCTTTCCAGGGGGTTTGTCCGGGGACATAGCCGCGCACGAAGCGCATGTAGGAGGTTCGCCATTCTTGGGCAAAGGTTGGCCAGTTTGTTGTTGCGAGCTTTTCTAGCTTTTCTTTTGTGTCCTTGTCATCGTTGGTGGATGTGGATGTGGAAGAGGAAGAGGCCAGCTTGGCTTTTGCGCGGGAGGTGAGTTCGTCCACCACCGAGGACCGCCAATCCACGACTGTGCCAAAGACGTCAAAGGTCAGCGCCTTGAGGTCGCGGAGGTTCTCTGCCTTGATATTGGGGAGGTCGCCTGCAATGCCGGACATGTTTTCTTTTTGTCGAGCTAACTGTTGGAAACTGTGATGTTTTCGACTTCGCTGTTCTCTTTACTTTGATAGAGTCTCTGGCTGGAAAACCTGGAAAAAATGCTTCAAATGACCAAGCTTGTAGTATATGAATCCGAGCAAGTCCTGGAAAGGGAAAGTGTTGTAATATACAGGGCGTAGAGGGGGGAGTCGTCACCTATATCAATCTTGGAGGCGGGGTCGGATTGCTGACTGATCCATCCCGAACCCCGCCTGTTCTCTCGGACCCGGGAGGGGCCGCGGTAAGACAACGTCCCGCTCGGGCAGCCCGGACGGCGTGGAACGCCAGACAAATGTGAGAAACATGTGCCTAAGGAACTTTGTGATACCCTCATACCATCTGTTGAGTAATCTGAGATGCACTCAAGGGATTAGAAGTCTACCCTTTTTTTATCATCAACAGTGATCAAAACCGGACGCGGAAATGACCTCATCAGGAGTATCAAACACGGTCTAAATCCAGCTCTCATGAACAAGACTACGAGCTTTAGATATAAGGAGCGAAATAAAATGATCTAAGATATGTCTGTAATTCTCTTAAGAATGGAACGCGGTACCATGTTGATGCAATGCGGCTCCGTGAAGTGCGTCACACTTAACATCTATCGAGAGCCCGCCCGCCACGCATCTATTTCGAACATATATGGTCGCTGAGCCTCCGCGACAAACAAGCACAAGAGTAGAAGTAACCATGACAAGAAGCGACACGATCTCTATCAACCTCACAGCCATGTTCTCTGCTAGACACGGAGCAGTCGGAAGCATAACAGCTCGACGACGAAGCTGCACTTAATTCCGGATATCTCACTCTGCACACCAAGAAGAAAACACAACCTCCTTGGGGAAGAAGCCATCACCACCAACATGACGCCTTTGAAGAACCGCATGAACATCCTGAATCCACAAAGACATCCAGAAAATTTAACCGCGGGCGGATCGGGAACAATCTCAATTATCCCGGCAGCCCCAATCTCGGGTTCGCTCAAAACCCTGCCTACCCAAACGCCCTATCCCCTGTTCATCATGTTAGACGAAACATAACGGCTTGCATCTCCTCCACTTCGTTTCTTTCGAAGGCCTTGTTTCATACCCGCGATGACGTCCGAAACAAGTGGAGAGCGTGGCTCAGTTCCTTCCGGGATGGGAAACATGGGAGCGAGTGTGTGTTAAACGACAGCCTCATCTCCAAGAGCCTGGTCCTCGGCTGTGCGCCTTGTTGACCTGGGTCTGTTGTGAAGTCGTTTTCGTCTCCTCAAATACGGATACCTGGTACTCAGAGACCATGCGGAGCGCAAAGAAAAAGGGGGAACACGAGTAAGTAAGGAGATTGTGTTACACCCAGCGACTGAGCGACAGTGAGAGATGGCGGCTGAGACGGGCGGTATCCTTGTGAACTCCAACTCGACGGATCTAGACGAAGTTCATGTTCGACAACTGATGACCGAGACGCCCAATATGTGCCCAACTTGGTTTGCGAGGAATCCACGCGCCTTCACTGGATATCCTGATGTTAGATTAGCCAGGGAAGTAGCAAAGATCTCGCCATGGTCAAACTACACAGTCTTCATTCACCCGAGGGTAATGTCCAGGCCGCGTCTTCGAGTCAGTCTCGTGGCGTGTAAGCCAGAGCATCAGTCTGAGACCAAGCCAGCTTGGCAGGCATGTAATTCATCTTCGCGGTCTTCTTTATTAAGCTCATGTACAGAACTGCAACTTCTTGCTTTGTGCCATTATCGTGTTGGATGGAGATGGACGAGAACAAATAACCGCTAAGACCTCGGCTCGTCCTTCACGTGGCAACGCGGAACGCGGACTCAACCCCTCTGACCGCGCAGCCGTGTTTGAGTCAGTAGGACGGATAGAGCCTGAGACCGAACGCTTTTCTTGAGCATCAAGCACCGGCGCAAGACTTTGCATCCCGGTGACCATATTTGATCCATGGTCTTCGGAAATTCGGGCATCACCGCCCCGTCCTTCGAAAACCAGGCTTTTGGAGGACTCCCGCTGCTGTTCTGGCTTCCCATTGCCGCGATTAGCTCACCTAAACAGTAGACTCCAAGTGCTGGCCATGGTTCGTCATCTTGTATGCTGTTCCACCCTCGTCCTCGCTCGCTTACAGCCAACCGATATTCGCTGATGTTTCGAAGGACGCCCTAGTCATCAAGTGGTTCAACGACACTGAGGATTGGGCACCCGCACTTGTAGTGTATCTCATATGGTCAAGACACCACACCTTCATTCATCTCGGTGTGCCTCGCCGATGATGGAGCCCGTCGAGGTATGTTGTCTGGCACACCGTCGTAATATTGCAGTGCAACACGCCGACCTCGCCGGCCCCGGATATTTGCCGCCAGGCGAGGTCCCCAAGGACCAGGGCCAGTGACGGAATGAGTTGCCAAACGCGCGCACTGACGGCGTTCGTGGCTGCTGAGTGCTCAGATAAAAGACCAAGGGGAAATCTTGGTTGTGGCAGAACACGTCTGCCATCCCGCAGATGCACGCGGCGTTTGGATCCCCATGCTTTTGGTTTGAGTGAGCTAAATATCTAGCACTAATAGTTAGCCCGGACGGATAACCAAAAGACGATGTGTTGCGGATTGCGTTGCCCACGTGGCAGAGTCGTCCCAAATAGTAGAATCAATGTCAGAAATTCCCGGCCAAATGATGTTTTGGCAGAAGAAAATGAGATGGATCACTGATGGGGACGAACATGGTGGGCCAAGAGATGAGGCTGCTTTGGGAAGCTACGGGAAATGAACTCTCCATCTTTTGCGCAAAGTTTTTGACTGCCTTGTATGACGCGGGTGCGAGATGATACTACTGTGTACAGTGATGGGGCGAGAGCGAATATGTTTCGCTGACGCAACCTCTTGTGCCTCCTAGCGTTTCCCAAGCCTATCTGAATAAACGGCGGCATCTTCTTTTTCGTGGCGGCAGTGAATTCTCGACTCCCATTTGTGGGGGATCTAGATTTTGCCAACTTGTGAGTCTGGAACTCTGAATTGAGTTTTGCGCCGTGTTCGACGGTCGCCTAAAGTACAACCTTGCAATTATACCGATCCTGTTTTCTCCCCTCATGATTTTGCGCTCTACAAAAGACCTGGTCTGCTGTTGCATAGAGACGCATGTCATTCGTGTGCGGAAGATTAAATCCCCTGCAGCTGCATTGAGAAATGCTCACGTTAAGCAATTGTGCGTTCGCTGGGGCTTGTCACAAACGGCTGTGATAGAGCTGCATATGCTCCGCTTTACTTTGAGAACGGGGGCCAGACGTTACTGAAGTCGGTATGGCTTAACCCGACGGCAAAGAGAGTTCAACGTGGCGTCGTTGACGGTATGCTATCTCACGTCCTCCCGGCTGATGAGGCTGCGGAAATGGTCGGTGTCCTGTTCAAAAGCCTCTGCCATTTTCTCCCAAATATCAGGAGTGCGGGTGGCGTTTAGTCGTTGCAAAAAGATCGATGGTGGCAGTGGCTAGGAGACGGGCCGGACACTAGCACCAAGACAAATTGCTCTTCGGCCATGGTTTGTTGACTAACAACCGGCAGTTTGGTCCATTTCGTAGCGAGTCTTGTGGCTTTGTGCCCAATACCTTCAAAGTCAAATGGTTCGTTGCAGCCTTAGAAGCTTGGTGTCATTAAGTCACGAACCGTCGTTTCTCATGGAGACATCGCGTTCGTCCCACCGGGCAGCGCCGTAGATCCTGCGTGTTGGTTTGTGGCCATGGGTATGGAAAGCTACGACGTACAGTATATTGCAGCGAGCAGCGAGACCGGGGAAGACATCCGGATGAAGAGAATGCGTGATAACTTGAAGCTGCGTGTTTGCTCTACGAACACGCCGCACATGGAGTTGAGAGGATCATCCCCACTCTCCGCAATGTTTGCTGTCGTTAGAGGTGCTCGCGCCATTTGCAGAATGCTTGTTCCCTGTGCCTGGTTTTTGGAGAAGCAGAGCCCTGGATTGAGTTGGGACTTGAGAGTTGGGCGCCCCGGGAGGGCATTCCAAAACATCCGAGCTGACACCAAGCCAACCGAATTGGCCGACTGACCTATTAGCGCAAGCCTCTCGTAGAGTCGAACAAGATATTGCTTTTTCGGAACCCTGCTCGTCTGTTGGTGCAATGAGGATCAGAGGATTGGTGTCTCCTTGGCGAACGGCAGCGGCGGAACCAGAACATCGCGGGATCGGACGAAGGTCCGATGCTGACGAGAAGGCGGCCATCAACTGGAGACCGGGGACCTTGACGGTTCGTGAGGGGAAAGCCTTGCTATCCGGATATCCTCCATGATAAGAGCCCCTACAGGTTATAGACGCCGATTCCGAATCTGCTTAGTGTATAGAATTTGAGCGGGATCGTACCTGAGATTGTTGGGAGGGGGCGCGAACCGATGCGTCGGCGCCGGAGGCTTACAAGCCTGCCGAGTGGTGTACTTGCAGGGCTGTATAGGCTGGGGATGCAATCTGGTTTGCACGGTCTTGGTCTCCTTGTTGGGAAAGGGGGTCATCAAAGCCGTGAGGCACGTCGTGAGTGACCCAGAAATGAATTCGGATATCGAGCCGCATTCCGCACTTTTGGGACGTCCGGGAGCTGCGCATGGCGCCAAAACTTTTGCGACTGACTCTTGGAGTTTAATGTGTCGCTTGTGGAATCGAAGACGAGAAGTCGACGCCAATGGATGTGCAGATGTATGATCAATACTCTGTAGCTGCAGCGGATAAGCTAGAAGATGAAGGCCGACAACCTCATCGAGAATGAATGTGAGGGGGGTTTTCAGTCTTGCGAACAGGCAATGATATCCGTATTCCGCGGTGCTATCAGGAGGCTTATGCTAAGTCGGAGGAGCTACCACGAAAGAGCCCAATGACCGAAGTCGAGAACGTCTCTGCTCGCGGGGTGAAGGGGTGACACCCGTCTTGATGGTTATTGATAGTGTAAAAGCGAGCAAGGCCGTTTTCCTGGTACTGCGAAGCCTTGGGCTGCAGAGCGGGCCAGCGGCACAGCCTGCAACGTGCGAGTGCGACTAGAGATTGTAATGCGGGCCTAGATTCAACGTCCAACAGCCTCCGCCATGATTCCATGCCTGTGACTGTGCCTTTGACTTGCATCTAATGCCTGCCGCATAACGATTCCTCTCTCGTCATGGCGTAGACTGTCCGATAGACCTCGTGTAAAAATTGCCTCGTTGTAGGCCCGCAGCTCCTTCCTAGTTGATCGGCGTGCCCGTGACAGTCGTGGCATGTTGAACGGAGCGTGGCAAACGTTACCGGTAGTCTGTGGTGTGCGAGGTTGATGTACTCCGTAGTTCTGATACTGGGTCTTGAACCAAGCCTCGGCGCCTTCGGGTCAAGAGAAGCAAATCGAAAGGAACCCAGTGTGCTTGAGTTCAGACAGCGATTGAATCGATTGGCTTGATTCATCTTGCCGTGGCATCGATACGGATACAATGAAAGCTCTGACCTCTCTGCAAGGTACGGCTTACGGGAACCGGCAGTTCGAGGAGGTGAGGGAGCCGAAGGTTATTGATTGGGGGCCCTTGATCAGTGATGGATGTTCACCTTTCAAGATGCTGCTTTTGAGCAAAGCAGGGGCCTCTTGTGCACAGTCTTTTTGAAGGATTGACAATCGGCACATCTTTGTGGGCTACAGCCTCCGCCAGAGATTGACAGGCCCGAGGGCCCTGCTGTCAAGCGATTCAGTCTAGGGCCCCTGACGTTGTGATTCTTGGGACGAATGACCGGGAGTAAATGAGGTAGCGGGGAACGACAACATTGTCAATGTATCGAGAAAAGAAAGGAGACGATGCGACCTCGAGACATTTTGACACGAGAGGCCGCCTCGTGTCATTATTTTATGGCGAATCAAGGGCGTAAACGGTATTGCGCAGGGCGAGACATGTGTGAGTCGCTATAGCTTGGACTGTTAGCGGTTGTCGAAGAGGTTTCTCAGCTTATGCAAGGTTGCACATGTCGAGTGCAAGTGGGATGTGACAAGTCTCGAGAGGCTGAAGAGGAAATTTGGCTGACCTCGAGCTGGTTTACTCGAGACTTGCACGACGCCAGCCAGTATTGCGCCGGGATCAACAAGAGGCGCTGCGGAGGCAGTGACGGCCGGGGGAGAGGACAGAGGTCTGACACGAGGACAGGCCGCAAGCCGGAAAAGAGATGACGGGAGGAGAAGCTACGATACGATAACGGCGAGTGACGGCGGGTGATGAGAAGTGCGATCTGCGCAGGCAGGAAATTGCGGGCTTCATGTTGGAAAGGTTCCCATTCGACGGTGATGTTGTTGGAGGCTTGGAGCTGGGAAGGATTCAAGGTGAAGAGGAGCCTTGGGAGAGACGGGTTGGTGGGAGAGGAGACCAAGAGTTCAGGACTCTTGGCGAGTACGTACCTTGAGAGTTCTCCTGGGAGTGACCCCTGGGCCCTGGAAAGAGCTCCCATATCTAGCGTTCTTTCCTGCCCAAATGGCTTACTGCAAAAGCTGTCCCCACTCGTGGCTCCCCAAAGGGCGTTAGCGGGTATTCCGGTAGGTCCCAACTGAGGAAAGTGAAGGAATCCCCGGTTGTGCCTTCCCGGATGTCTTTGAATCCTTCCTGTTGGAGCGCAGGAAAGTGCCAGACTTGCCAGGGCCCCAAGTTCCAAACTTCCAGCCGATGGAGCAGCTTTTGAGATTGAGAAGCGCCAACAAAAAAAACACTATCCCGGCCAGGCCTGATGGGATTGCCTGCCTCGAGATCGCGACCACCGATTCGCAATCTAGGTTCATCCCCTCTGGCGTCGTTTCATCCGGGTGATTTGTTTCTCATCACTCACGTATCTTTACTTTGTTACCTAGCTTACGTTGCGGATCGTGGAAACCTCCGTCGAGTTCGCGATGGGTTCCTGGTCTCTCACTGTAAATTGTGGAGAGCTGGACTTGGCACAGTAGAGTACGCCGTACATAAGAGCTACCTTACTCGACGGGAGATGGTGATGGCGGTACGTATCTTTCCTTCATCTGCCTCTTTCCGCTTTGCAGCGTGCAATTGGCAAATGAGACGAGGCAGAGCATGATCAAGTGCTGATTTTCTCGGTCGACATGAGAAGAAAAAGAAAGCAAGACAATAAACAACCATCCCACGTGTCGGAAGTGTCGAGAAACGGTCGCCGGTTCCTCTTCCCGTAGTCCGGACCTTGTACTCTATGTGACTACTGCTTCATTGCTGCCCAGCGAGCGCAAATCTCTCCAAGTACAGCGTGTGGCTTCCCACCAATTGACCCAATCGGCAGAAGTGGCCCAATCATGGACGGTGTCGATGATGTTTGTCGAGGACCCTTTCCAGGCTGGTCTCTTCTTATCCCCAATGATCGTCTTTACATGACTCTGGCCGGTACACAGTACTCAGTCTCGACTACTCTAGCGCGTGTGCATGAGCGAAAAAAGGCAGCGAGTGCGAAGTGTTCGGTACCTTGCGTGCTTGCCTCGAGAATTCTCCGTCTTCTGTAGCGGGCAGACGCAAGTGGTGGGCAGCTAGCGCCGTCCAACGCCGTTGCGAGTTTTTCTCTCGCTGCAATCTCCTTTCTTCTGCCAACTCCTTTCTTTGGGTTCGAGACCGGTGGCTTGCTGAATCGCCTTCAAAGAAAATGTCGAACTCTCGTGGTGTTTTCGACGAGAGCCAAGTCCGGCCGCATGGATGAACCGAGAGGGGAGGACATTGAAGTTGATTGAACAATTAGAACAAGTAACGCAGAGAGGAGATCCGAGAGGGGGCAACGGGGCGAGGACAAGCCGGATTCCGACTCATCATCTCATTTGAAGCCCATAATCAAAGACGCGGCTGCAAGTGCCATCTGTTTTGGACGAGAGATGTAACGGCGCCATCAACCGCGGTCCGTAAGCGACAATACGCAGCAGAGAGAGCTCCGAGCATTACTTCAATCTACTCCTGTACTCCGGTACTACCTACATACGCAGTACAACAAAAGAAACATGTTGCGCGCGTGTTTCGTGGGCTTGGTGTTCCTGACTTTTCTTCAAAAACTAAAACTCGGAACTTGGAAAGAGCAAGATGAAATGGACCTCTTAACCTACCTTACGGATACATCGTACAGATACTTTTGGTCTCAGAAGTCTCGTGGCTGGCCCGTTGGCCGCGTCGTGCGTGCCTGGCTAATTTACGCCCATGTCATCCGGCGTCGCCTGGCCCTGGTGCTTCGTCTCCTCCCATCTGGATTGATTTGATTACTGGGTTCGCTTCCCAATCATAGCCATGATCGCTACCTACGGATCCCCTCAAGGACGTTGACCAATACGTATCCCATCCCACCCCAATCTAGCTAATCTCATTCAACTGACCAGGGACCCGGCCTTTCCCACCTCAATTCATGATCATGATCCCATCACAACACTGCATCCCGCAGCTTCCTGCCCGTGGCTTACAACAAGCACACCCAGCAACACACTAATAATACACTTCACAAGTTCACCTCACGGCATTCGTACACGTATGTGTACACTCATCCATCTGCCCTGCACATGCATCTAGCACGTTGGCCGTCTACTGCACGACAATGATTAGCTTCTGATGGCTCGTCTCGTCGCATTCGCCAAGTCGAATCCTACGCAATACACACGGCAAGCCGTCATGGACCACCATCTTTTCTCTCTGCCTCCATCGACCATCCAGACTGTTCCTCGCGGCTTCCCGCTGCTGCATCCGCTGCACTACCACTGTGATGGTCTCGATGCCCACTTTGATGCTTCTCCTCCTCGTCTCTCCGTAGTGAACGGATACCTCCCACCCCCGGCTTCTACCCTACCTACCTTAGTGCTGTTCTTCCCATGCTTCTAACCCTTGCCCGTCCCATTTATTTCCATCCCATCTCAGCCTGTCCCGTGCTCGAATTGACAGAATAGTCTGGCGCCTCGCACCCGGCTTCTTCACTCTGTTTCTTTTTGCCTTGCGCCTTGCCTTGCCTTGTCTTGTCTCTCTCGACTCGCCTCGTCTTCTCACGGCTTTCTTCTCTCCTTCTCCTCCAGCCCGGTCTTCAGGTGCCGCCATCGTCACGCCCATTGGCCTCGGATGCAGCAGCCGTTCTGTTCAGTCACCCCGTCTTGTTGGGATACACGTCCTACCACCTGCGCAACCGATCCTCGCGCCCATCTATTTTGACTTGCCACTTAGCTGTTGGCAGTTGTACATTTATCCTTACACCCGTCCACCGTCCTTAAACTTGCCTTGTTCCTTTTGTCACTGTCACTCTGTTTGAACCAACCGGTGCGCCTTTACTTTTCTACCCTCGACTTGTTTCCAAAACCTCCCGACAAACTATCGACCGTCCAATACACCTCCCGTCGGGTAAGCCTCCCATATGTCTCAGTCCGTTTGTCGGTGCGGCCGATCGCAGCGGGAGAAGCAGCCTTAGAAGGAAAAGAAGGAGGGAGGTCCGGGACAAGATGCTAACCACAAAATCTCCCCCACCAGAACCGCGAAACAAGCCTTCACGCCTTTCTCGTCCGCGCCTCTGCCCGACCGACGTTTCTTCTCCCAACGTCTCGCCTGTTTACATCATATCATTAGTACATTGCTCGAGCCTTGTACAAACGCCAATCATTCCTGCTCCTTTTTTCCAACTCTTTCGTCTTGGTTGCCGCTCATCCTATCCGGAGTCGCATTCCATTTCGGCCTTTCACCAAAGTCAATTTACAACGTCATGTCGACTTAGAACGGCTCTTGACCTCATTGCGACTTTGGGCTTGTCATCTGTTCTTGCGACTGCCGCGCCTCACTCAATCTCTCCTTTTCTCTTTGCGACGTTGATTCCTGGCTTCGAAAGCCAGTCAGTTTCATACCTGGATTTACTACCTATATATCCCAGTTCTTAAGGTGGGAGCCCATCCAAAACCGTTCCCGAACATCCCTCCCCGGCTCATATACACCAATTATACCACCTCGGCCCCGGATAACTTCATGCTAACTCGTGTCTGGGCTGTCCAGAAACGGCCACTCGAGCGAACCACTCCTTTTTATCACTCTGATTCTTTTCATCTTTTTGCTTGTTTGGGCTGTTGCCCATAGCATATCACCTCTGTCTTATTTGACATCACCTTGCTGCGCCCGCGACGCAGCAGCAGTAGCAACAGCAGCAACATCGCATCGTAAGTTTCACCAAGAACATTTCATGCATATTCCTTGCCGTAGGCCTCGGCCTCGCGCTCCTCCAATGTGCCTCTCCCGTAGCATCGAACACTAACCAAGAGCCAGTGGGGGTTGAATAGCGTCAATGCACCAGTGATTGCGCGGTCAGACTGCTCCTCTGGCGCCTGTCATTTCCACCGGCAGCAAGGATCCCTGGGCTCAGCTGTGTGCTTTGATCCCCTACATTTGATTTTCCCCGAAACGGCTGGCGATCCAAGCACATTTGCTCGCTGTAAGCCAACCGACCATAACCTGCATGCTTACACTTCTTTTTTGAGGGGTTCAATTGAGAACCGTTGCGCCCTTGACACCTCACTGCGAGTCTTTCATTGTCTCCAGTGAGTCAAGATGGCTGTTTGGGAGACCGAGGATGAGTCCAAAGGCAACGCTGCCGTGACGGCGTTGCCAACACCACAGGACACACCTTACAGAACTCCATCACGAAGCTCGAGGAAATCCCGACGCTCCGTCACCCCGCCGAACGGGAAGAAGAGCCCTTCGCCTCCTCCCGTCCCACAGAACGACAAGGGCTCTAAACGTTCATCCAGAAATATGACCAACGACGATGGCATCAGCGTTCTCGACCCACGTCGTTTCACTCCAACCTTACACGCCAATCTCGTAGCCGAGATCCTGAACTTGAGGCGAGATCAGGAAGAAAAGGCGAAGCTTATCGAGAACCTAGAAGTATCCTTGCACGCCTCCCGCCAGGAGCAGGAGACACTTCAAGAGACAGTAGCCACCACAACAAAACAAAGCCGGTCCCTTCAGCGTCAACTTGCCCTTCTAGAAGGTGGTACCTCATCAGCACTGGGCGAGCTCGCCCGTGAGAGGGATGAAGCCGTCGACTCCATCACAGAAACGAGAAAGAGACTCGAATCCGCCCAGAAGAAGATCCGAAGCCAGGAAGAAGACTCTCAGAGGGTTCACGACCTTTGGGCTCAGGACAAGGACTCTTGGGAGGAAGAGAAGCGCAAGTATGAGCGTAGAGTCCACGTCGCCGAGAGCCGCTTGAAGGTGGTGATAGACGAGGTCGCCGCCTACCAGGCTGCACAAGTTAACGGCAACGGTAATGACAGCGAGACAGAGGATCAAAACGACGCGGGAAGTGTAAGGACTATGAGCCTGACTAATAGCGTCCGATTTTCCATGCATCAGAGCCCCGGCAAGGTCTTCAATGGAAACTCACTGGCGGACGAACTCAATCTCGATGGCGACGACGACTGGCAGACTGACGACGGCGGACGCGAGAGCGCCATGTCCAACTATCGCCACACACGAACATTCAGCCGCGACAGCATTCTGTCCAAGATTCACCGACGACAACAAAGCATGGAGAGCCCCCAGCGTCCTGGAAGCGTTACTAGAGGTAGACTTTGGATGAACCAGCCCGTCCTGGAGGCCCTGGAAGACGGGATTCAAGAGAACGATGAGGATCTGATGCCGCCTCCACCGCCGCCTGCTCCCAAGGTCAGCTACACCGACACCGGAATTCAATTTTCACCTCCTCCATCACCGAAGATGGAGCCTGTGAAGCCTTCCACACCGGAACCGCCTGCCAAGATCGAAAAGCTCACCGAAGTCGAGGCCTCCCCAAGAGGCGAGTGGGAAGTTGAGGCCAATCAAAGACGGAAGCGAGTTCACGTTAACCGGCCACTGTCGATCGAGCCGCGTCCTTTCAACCACATGGTCTCCGCTGGTTCTCAGACTGTCGAGGAGCCTTTGAGCCCCCCGAAGACGCCAAAGTCCCCCTACAGATCTTCCACCCCGCCCCCTCCGGAAAGTCCGCCCGTGGTGATGGTTTCATCCTCGACTCAGACCGACAAGCCGGTGGAGAGGCCTCGGACACCTCCCGTTCTGCGGCCAGTGCGAGAATTGACCATCCCATCCATCAGTATCATCCCGCCAACGAGTCGTCCGACTACACCACGCGAACACCGGCTTCCACAATACGTCAAAGACTTTGGATGCCAAGTATCCATCATTTCCTCAGCTCCCACGAAATCCACTGCTGTTCAGACCGAAGAAATCCTTTCTGACAAGAGGCTGGCGACACTACCTGTCCATCTGCGGCCTTCAGCTATCACGTCCAGGCCCTCATCGCCCAGCGTCGGTATCGCTACGGCCGTGACGAGTGATGATCCTCGCCATTTTACTCCGGTGCCGGGACATCTACCACCGCGAAATCCTCGAAGACTCGCTACAAAGCGCAGCCTATCTGACATGCCTTCGTCACCACCGGTCTCGCCAGTCTTTGGCGAGCAAACTCGCGACGCCTACCCTGGTAACAATGATGACGGGCCACTTTCGAGAGAAGGTGCGCCTATGAGACGACCACACCGCATCAGCAGTCTGTTCGCCGGCTTCCAAGATGCCCAGAGCTCCGATGAGGTGGACGAGTTTGATGCTGATGTGAGCGACTCTGAGTACCGAACCGCCCTTTCCGCCCCTGGCATGAGAATGACGGACTCCCGAGCCTCCAACCGCACATCTGTCAGTACCTTTACATCGCCAGAACAAACGAAGAGGTCAGCTCATAGCAGGAACTCCATGCGCCTCGCAAGCGAGAGTTATGGAGGAAATTTGGAAAGTAGAGAAGCACCCAAGAGGCAGTCTGCCAAGCCCACTACCCGCGGATATGAGAAGTCTACCGCGGGACCTTCGGGCAAGAACGTCATGCGGAAGGCTGCTATGATCCAGAGCGGGATTGCCAGCCACCAAGGCCGTCCTAGAAGCCCGAGCGTTCCAGAGTCTCGTGCTCCCGACCCTCCTTTCCCCATCCCTACCAGAGCTAGCTCTCGGCGACCGCCATTCAGTGCCAGTGCTCCGAGCGATGGCCAACGAAGCCCAACCAAGATGGACGCACCGTGGCATCGCCGAGGCATGGGCCGTAATCACTACCGTGCCGGCAGCATCCATCGCGCCAACAGTATACGTAAGGTGCGATCAGCTGCGGCCCTTCCTCGTAACCAGAGAAATCGGAAGCAAAGTAGGTCTCCGCCACCCTTCTCGGAGACGACCGAAGCGCCGGAGAGCCCCAGCTTGCCTCCTCTTCCTTACAACGACATCACCAGCCCTCGGTACGATACCAGCTCCAACTACCGGTCCCACAAGTCCAGACTGTCGACAACAACGGCACAGACAGCTACCACCGATGTCAACTCTGTCGGTGGTGCATCCAACGGCGCATCGCAAGCCACGGGCGTCGTCGATGCCATTGCGCAGACCATGGTCGGTGAATGGATGTTCAAGTACGTCAGGAGACGCAAGTCATTTGGCGTGCCTGATAATAGCAAGGATGACTCAAGCAACGACCGCCACAAGCGATGGGTCTGGCTGGCTCCCTATGAGAGAGCTATCCTCTGGAGCAGCAAGCAACCCTCATCTGGCAGTGCCCTCATGGGTAAGACTGGTCGGAAACGTAAGTACTCTAACTTGAATCAGCGCAAGCCTTGACTAACGTGAAGCAGTGACGATTCAGTCTGTACTTGATGTGAAGGATGACAACCCCGCCCCGAAGAACCAGGGTGCAGTTTTCAACCGTTCGATTCTCATATTGACTCCGCAAAGAGCGCTGAAGTTTACGGCTACGTCTTCCGAGAGGCACTACATATGGCTGACGGCTCTTTCATTCCTGGCACACTCGACCCAAGCAATCCCTGAAATCGTCGCTGCGCCCCAACCTGCGAAACCAACCACGGTACCGGACTTTGAACCACTGCAACCTACCAGGCGACCTGGCATTCGTGATTCCATTCGACTGACAAAGAGCAAGGCCCCCTCGATGAAGAATCCCGGACCGCGAAGTATTCCAAGTGTGCCCAGCATTCCTAGCATCCCCTCTTCTAGGACAGGCGACGCCTCTGGCTACAAACAAACGGAGGCATTCCCGCCCATGCCGATCAACAACAGCAGCAGCAATAACAATAACAACAATCATCAACGTGAGCGCTCTGGAGACGCAGCGGAACCACCATTCATCCCTCGGTTCACGGAGCGCTCGAATCAGAACGCGGTCCACGGACGGAAGCGGAGCAACACCGGAGGTCACGTTCCGCCCCCGCTGTCTTTCCGTGGATTTTCCGGGCCAGGCAGCGTTGGACAGCACAGCTACACCAACAGCAATGCTGGCAACAGCGTTGGCACTGCCGGCTCATCTGATATCTACCAGTCCCAGCCATCTCAAGGCTCGAGCAGGCAGAGTTGGGGCATGAGTACCGCCGGCTCTCAGCGGACGTCGGAAGCCTCTTCAAGACCCCCAGGTGCCAACTTCTTTGATGCCATTGGTACCGTGCGCATGGAGGCCTTCATCAGCCCATTAGCCCACTCAGGCTTTGACAGAGACCCTGATGAGTACGAGGAATACGGATACCGGGCTCGTAGGCGCAGCAAAGAGCTTCGAAGACGGCAGAGTCGTAGCCGTCACCGTGACAGCTATAGCTCTCGCGGGACGCGCGGCACAGACGGCTACCATGGTAGCAGCCGAGCGACCGTGGAAGATGACTACTTCCGAGATGACCCTTTCAAAGGCTTCTAGGTGAGAAGCCGTCAAGTCCTTTACATTGTCCCTTGTCGCGAAAGGTTCGGATTAGCCGGAGCGCGCGGGATTGCATTCATTCGATACGATACCCATTGTGTACTATTTCTCATGTGTAATCAAGGTGTGGGGTGGCGAAACAGAACTAGACCCCTGTGCCACGTTGTGGACGGAGTTGGTAGGGTAAAAAGGCGATGGCTGCCGTCGGCAGGCCAGGGAGATGTCATCATGCCTGGTTTGGCCAGAGGGTCGCAAGCTCTGATGGTCTCAGATGCTGTTGGGTGTGTACGATGCTGGTAAGGTTGTCAACAATGTGGTGTTGATATTACCTTTGGTAGTGTAGATAGGTCCTTCAGGACAGACGGCTAGTCAATCAAAAACTGTTAAATTTAATGTTCGACCCTGGTGGTGAAGCAAGCTTGATTGTGATGGTGTGAAAACCTCAGGGGTGAGAAGGTTTGCTTCCTGGCGGCCGTTCGCCGAGCGAGCGGTGCTCGGGCGCAGTCGAATTACGGGCCGCTCTCCGGGGGGCACGCACCGACCCCGCACCGCAAGCAGCGAACTTCAAACCCCACCAAGAAATTTCGCCCCTCCATTGCATTCCAAGCTTGGAGCTTCCAGTGACAACACAATTTCGAAGCTTCACATTTTTACCCTTTCGAGACGGCCAATTCGTTTCCCAGCTGGTTGGCTCAAGATCTCGTCGTCAGCGGAGCACCGGATCGAGCACCGAGTTTCTCCTGTGAATCGCCTCAGACAAGACTAAATCGCGAATAACCCCCCGCCTCTGGCAAACGTCACATATCGGTTCCTGTGTCGACGGACATACCTCGCGAGACACCTCCCTCACAGAGCCCATCTCATACGAACCCGCTCCGACCGAAACCGAACCGAAACCGAAGCAAACTTGAGGAAATCGGGTGCTCCACGAGGAAACAGAGACGAATAAAAGCCATGGAATCCGAAACGCTGGAGCAGATGCAGACGCGCCACCGCAAGGAGCAGCGCGACCTCGTGGGCCGGATCACGAGCAAGAAGAAGAACGCGACCAAGAAGACGCGCAAGGGCGTGAATGATGAGTGCGCTGAGCTGGAGAGGCAGTTGAAGGCGAAGCATGAGGAGGAGGTGGCTGGGCTGTCTGGCGGTGGTGTCGCCGAGGAGGTTCAAGACGACGGCGACGACGAGACTGCCGAGGTTGTGGAGAAGTTGAAGGATACCACCATTTCCGAATCCGAAACGCCGGTAGAAGAAGAGGAGGAAGAGACACAGGCACAAGGGCAAGGCCAAGGCCAAGGGAAGAAGCGCAACAGACAAAAAGAACGCCTGGCGCGGCGGGCGGCCGAGGTCGAGGCCGCGGCGGAGAAGGCGCAGGAGGAGGCGAGTAATATGACGGACCACCGGGGTATCGAGAAGACGTACATGCTCAAGGAGTTCAAGGCCAACGGGCTCGAGGAGAAGGAGATTGCGCCGGACGGGCATTGTTTGTTTTCTGCTGTGGCGGATCAGTTACGGCAGCAGGGTATTCCGCTCTCCGCTAGCGCTGAGGAAGCGAGTGGTGGCGGCGACCCGACGCAGAAGCTCCCGTATAAGGTTGTGAGGAGGGCGGCGGCGGAGTACATGGTGTCCCACCCGGACGACTTTGCGCCGTTTCTGGAGGAAGGGTTGGAGGGGTACGTGAGGCGGGTCCGGGATACGGCGGAGTGGGGTGGGCAGCTTGAGCTTGCGGCGCTGGCGAGCGTGTATGGGGTTGAGATTCGGGTTGTGCAGGATGGGAGGACGGAGAGGATTGGGCCGGCGGCGAGTGGTGGTGAGAGCGAGGGGAAGAAGGAGATTTGGTTGGCGTATTATCGGCATGGGTACGGGCTTGGTGAGCATTATAATTCCTTGCGAAAGACGACGGCGTGAGGGGTGTCGTAGTTCGATGAGAGGGTGGAGGGTATGGAGAAGACTATATTCTCGAGTTTTGTGTACATGGAGTTTTGGGCATTGCATGGCACAGGCATACATCATTGGCCGAACAGAGGAAACTATCTATTACCAGAGTTATGTGCCGTCATGGTTGTCAGTGACTCCAGACATGAATCCAATCGCGAACTGAGCCATCCTCATTCATACCAGCGCGATGCGTCCTACTAGGCTTGACGAGCGCCAACCGCTTCAGACCGGCGGTGCCTTCCCCGCCATCCTCGTTCGCGGCCGGGGGAACGACAACGACGTCGGCCTCGTCGCCCGCCAGCGTCGAAGCCGAGAACTCGAGGGGTTGGCCGGGGCGGGTGAGCAGGGCGAGGTAGATATCCGGGTTCAGGCCCCACGGCGGGCCCGGCTGGGAAAGAGGTTTGCCGGACGGAAATTCGAGGCAGATGAGGCGTCCGGTGGCGGGGTTCAGGAGAGAGGATATGCGGGCTGACCATTGGGGGCGGGCTGTTGGGGGGAGGGCGCAGAGGAACTTTGGATGGTTGTTAGCTTCTTTTTTCTCATGTTGTAATTCCTCTTGGCCATTCCCTTTGAGAGCCACTGAGAAGAGTGAGACTTACAGTGTAATCAAAGATGAGGTCAAACGTCTTGTCCTCGCGGGGCCAGGCCTCGAGCCACGAGTCGGAGAAGAAGTCGCCCGAGAGCCACGTCACGAAACCCGGTTCGGCGCCGTTTGGCTGGCGTATGGCGTTCACGTCCGGCTCTGCTCCATCTCCATTACCGTCCCCGGTCGGCGCCGCAGCAACTACAGCCTTCTGATTCTCCTTTGCCTCGGCGATGGCCGTGGGCGAAAAGTCGAGGCCGAGGACGTCGTAGCCTAGGTTTGCTAGGAGGAGGGCGTCGTGGCCTTTACCACATCCGGGAACGAGGGCCGTGTGCTTCCTCTGCTGTTGTCCCGCGGGCGATGAGGCGGTGGGAGGAGGAGGCGGGATGAGGTCCGGACGGGTGGTGATGATGTCCAGTAAGGCTAGGGAGGGCCCGCCGCGGTCCCAGGGGGTGAATTTCTCTTCCCAGAACGCGGACCATTTCTGGCCGTGGTTTGCGAGGGGCGTGTTTGCGAAAGCCGTGGATAGCTTGTTTGGGTCGGTTGCCATGATGGGCTGGTTGCTTATACTCGGAGTTGTGAAGGGAGTATGATGGGGGACTTGATGTTGGGGCTGGGCGGTGCTTTGGTAAAGTATCTGGTGAATTGTCTTGACAGAATTGTGAGATTTAAGCGGGTTTCTGAGAATAATTCAAACAACGATTGGTATATTAAGTGGTTGGTAATCCAGTGGTATGAAACAGAATGAAAGTCGCCAGATGAGAATGAAGTCATGAATCTTGGTAGACCGGAACTAACGAGGTCAATCTAGTCCCCGAGGACCCCGCGCTGTATTGTGGATGTGGCGCAAATGCCCCGCGCTGGAGAACGGCGACGTTGATCCCTGTCGCTGCCAGGGACGCATCCCGAATGTCTGGGATAATACCTCACCTAACCCAAGCTTACCAAGCCATTTCCAACCATATGACTTCCGACTGCAAGGCGACGGATGTGCTTGTGTCGTGCTTCTTCTCTCAGCTGCATGTCCTGACGTTTCGGCGTAGGTATGGAAATTAGGTGAATATCGCCATTGTGAGAGATGGGTGGTTACACAGCTTTGCTAGATTTGCTGCGTTTGAGAATGGCGACTCATCGTGAGTCGAAAATGGCTGTTGATTTTGTGTGATGTGAAGTAGAGCGTATAGGTGAGGTTTTGAACATTGGGAGAAGGGTCTTGGTAAGAAATTGAGGAGGACTCATCAACCGAGTCAATGCCGAGTGTAGATACAGTCGGTCATTCACTCTACCTTGACCAATTCGTTGAATGCTCGATAGAATGTTCCTGACGATTCCAGAGTTCATGAGTGATTTATGAACAACCGTAGTTCTGGCATGTTGGTATACGGCTCTAATATTACCCGCGGGAAAAGTAGATGTGTGTGGTCATTTCACCGATAATCTCAGTGGCCCGGCGAGCCTTTTCGGAGACAACCGCCGAATCCCACGACTCAAGCGGGGTCGCCCCCGTCCGGAGGGCGTCAGGTAACTGCCCACGCCGCACAACCAAAGTCCCGATCCCGGCGTCGGAAGTCCCTATGACTTTGCCGCTCACGCCCTCGCGACACGTCTCATCTCAATCTCAATCTCAAATATCTCACTTCATAAGACGCCCGTCAAAGCTCTGGCATTCTGCTCTCCGTTGCCTCATTTCTTCTACTTGAGGCTTTCGGCATTTTCGCAACCACACTCACTTACCTACTTGAGGTGTACACACACGTAGCAAAAGCAGAACCGTTCATCGTGAGCAGAACAAATCCGAGAGCCATGGCCGACCTATCAACCTGCCTACCCCTAACCCGGGCCTCCGTCGTCGAAGCCCACAAGCTCGTCAAGCCGCACGTCCACTACACCCCCGTCCTCACCAACAAGACCCTCACGGCGTTGGCATCGACGCCGCGGACACCCGAAGACCTCAAGGGCACGAAATGGGAGGGGCGCACGCCGGCCAAGCCCGTGCTCCGGCTGTGGTTCAAGTGCGAGAACCTGCAGCGCATCGGCGCCTTCAAGGTCCGCGGTGCCTTTCACGCCGTGGAAAGGTTGAAGCAGGAGCCTGGGTGGGCTGAGGGCGGCGGTAAAGAGAAGGGCGTTGTTACGCATAGCTCAGGTATGGATACATCTCTATTCTCCTGCTCAGTGAACAAACCAGAAAGAGAACTATCTGAATGTGTATTTCTTGATCTCCGCAGAATGTACTGACAACACCACCAGGAAACCACGCTCAAGCACTGGCTCTCGCCGCCAGAGAAAGCGGCATCCCCGCACACATCGTCATGCCGGACATCTCCCCCCCCAACAAGATCGCCGCGACGCGCGGCTACGGCGCCAACGTAGTCTTCAGCGGCAGCACCAGCGTCGAGCGCGAGGCCGTCGCCGACCGCGTCATCTCCGAGACGGGCGCCCGCCTCGTGCCGCCCTACGACCACCCGGACATTATGCTGGGCCAAGGGACGATGGGCCTCGAGTTGCAGGAGCAGGTCCGCGATCTACTGGCCGCGGGCCACTCTGCAGAGAACCCGACGTTCAACTCCACGGGCCTTCCCGTGGCTGCTGTATCCAATGGTGATGACGAAGAGAAGAAGGAGAAGAAGGGTCTGAACGCGATCATGACCCCTTGTGGAGGCGGCGGCATGCTCTCCGGCGTAGCGCTGAGCTGCGAGGGGACGGGGATCAGGGTGTTCGGCGCGGAACCCGAGTTCCAGGGCGCCGACGACTGCAAGCGCGGCTTCGAGAGTGGGAAACGCGTCGAGAGCGTAAAGACGCTGACGGTCGCCGACGGCCTGCGGACGCCCGTGGGCAAGCACCCGTGGTCCGTCATCTACGAGCGCCGGCTGGTGGATAATATGTACAGCGTGTCCGAGGAGGAAATCAAGGCGGCGACGAAGCTCGTCTTTGAGCGGTTCAAGCTCGTGGTCGAGCCGAGCGGTGCGGTGCCGCTTGCGGTGGCGCTGTTTAATGAGGATTTCAGAGCCATGGTGGAGAGGGAGGCTGGTGAGACGGGGTGGGATTTGGGATTGGTTTTCAGTGGTGGGAATATGGCGCTGGAGGGGCTCATGAAGATTTTCGCGGCGTGATATACCTGGAGGTTGTTTGAGTAGAGGTTGGTTTGGTAGAGGTGTGTTCAGGATCCCGTTTCAACTTATTCGCCCACGAACGTTACCGAGGCCGGAAACGAGGTACAATAGACGCCTTGGACCTAGCTTAGTCTTTTCTTGACGGGGAAGAAAAAAAAGGCTAGGAAAATTGAGAGCCACGAAAGGTCCCACACTCCAAGACCATGGAAGGTAAGTTTGAATCCCTTTAGACAAGCAATCGGTGTCTGTGTCGGGCAGACCATACATTACTTTAAACGTGACCATGGAAAACGGCATACTATAACATTGCTCGGGACTTCCAAAGAGTTCTAGAATCCACCAGCCACTCTGTGTGGTACCTTGCCCTTTGGCCATGCTTTGACATCTTCTTACAGAATAGCAACCAACCTCTCCTCCCAAAGCATGGGTCAATGGGATGAAAATCATTCTTAATTTGTTGATTCTTTAATAGTCTGATTGAAGCAGTTGTGACAAACTTCCTCTTGTAACTCCCCAACCTAACCCCCGACTCTACCTCACTAAAATCAGAGTCTGTACGTCTCCAAAAACACATACGCTTTGCAATTCCACAAATCGCTTGCCATCCACCCCTCTCACCCCCTTACGCTGAGCCCCTCATCCTTGCCTACGCCCGCCGGTGCTCATCAGCGTAATCTTCTGCTTCTTCTTCTTTCCCTTACCAGCTCCTCCTGATCCACCGCCGCCATTGTTGCTGCTACTACCGGCCCCAAATGCGGCACTACTGCTAGAGGGACCGGGCTCAGTCACACCCAAAGCCTCCATCTGGAAAGAAAGCTCTTGAGGTCCCCACAAGTCTTCATCCTTGAGCCACCCGTCGTCAAGTTGACGCATTGAAGCCGGGGCAAGCTCTGGGGACCCAGGCACGACAGAAGTGCCCCAAACGGTTTTCTGCGTGGATGGACTTGTAGAAATGGTTGCAAGATGCTCGAATCCCGGTCGTGGATCGGGCGGCGTAGCGTTGGCGTGGCTCGATAGGGGCTGGAACTCTTCCAAGTTCAACGCAGGAACGTGATCCTCTTCGACCGGTCCATAATCTCGTCGCATAGCCGCGGTACTCTTAAACTGAGCAGCCTCAATCCTTTCGGACTGAAGCCTCTCACGTTCTTCCTGTACGGCCTTGTCACGATTCCGCTTTCGCCGCCGGCCAATCTCATCAGCGAACTTTTCGAGGACATCCGCCGACACAATGTCTGTCCAATCGCATTCCAAAAAACTGATTCGGCAACCATACGGAAGATGACCCAAATACTTGGCCCGCTTTCTCTGCACCTCGTCTAGAACATGGCCTGTCGAAATGTGCTCGACGCGAGGCAACAACGTGGATGGAAATGCAGAGAAGTCGCCATATTTCGTCTTGAGAATGCGAATATCGAGAGCTGATAGGTAGAGATGCGGCTGTGATGAGTAGAAGTAGAAGTCAGGTTGAACGGTCTTGTTCTGGTTGCCCAGCTTCTTATTTGGCAGCATGGAATCGTTCCTGCCGAGGTCTTGGACCTTCTCCTTCGCCGCATCAATGGCCCGGATCGCCTTCTTGGTCCATTCGTCGTCGTCGTGGTAAAGAAGTTGATCCTCGGTTCCCTGTTTCCGCAGCGCCTCAATCTCTTCGTTGAATTGCTCCAACATGTAGTCTCCAGTTCCCTTCATGATCCTGGCATAATCCAGAACATTGGCTGCAAAGTGCCAGGGCACGTCGTCCGACACATTGAGCGCGTCAGAGCCATTTTCCCAGGGCAATGCGAGGGTTGACTTCGCTGTCCGGGCCATGAGACGTAGGACAACGTCATCGCCAACTCGCGGCAGAGGGCTCTCCTGGCCCGCATAGAAACGCACAGGCCGCGTCTCGTGAAGGTAGACGCTGTCTTCGCAGAGCGGACATTTCTTCCACCTTGCACCTTTTCCATGCTTCGAGTCCTCATCTGTCGAGTTCATAAACCGAATCAGACATTGAAGGCAGAAGATGTGACCGCACTTTGCCATTCGTGGCGCCACCGGCTCGGACAGACAGATCGGGCAACTAGCCCCCTGCGATTCGGATGAGGCCAAAATCTGCAGGACGTTGTTCCAATCGATATGAACATCGGCGTCAGCCGCTTGGCTGGCGTAATTGCCTTCCGGTGAGACGACAAATCTGTAATTCGCATGCACGTATCTCGCCTTGTCTACGGCATGGTGTCCCGAGCCAGGTCCCCAAGTCGGATTCCGTCTATAATTCCGAGCATAAGAATGATGATCCGCGTAAGCAGTCGGCGGACGGCTATAGTTCAGAAGGTGTGTAATTGAGGTTTGACCTCGTCGACTGTTGGCATTCCCTATAGCCCGTATCTCGGCCATAGCATCGTCATCGTCTGGGTTCGCGTGTCTGGCGTCGCCAAGTCCCGGTCTTCGCTGCATTTTGTGTTGCTTCCGAGAGCCCTGACCCTTCCGGGGGGCTGCGTGTGGGAATGAAGGACTGGGTTGGGAGGGCCGGCGGTTGGATTCGAAACTCGCGGTGACGGGACCAGGCTGGATCGAAGGCGAATGGGAAGTCGATGCTGAAAGGGACTTGCCCAAGTTTGACGAAGTCGAGCTCATATTCGGGTACCAGGATATCGTAAGGGAACGTGACGCAACAGCTTGTCCGCTGGGGGAAGCTTTGATCGATTCGATCAGCCCCCTGTGGCCAATGTCGTGATGCAATGCGGCGCGAGCGAAGGGAACGAAAGGACGGATCGGAGGTTGCCACTGCAGGCCAACTGACCCAAGGCTATCTGAACAAAAACAAGTATATCGAGGAGGAGAGAGGCAAAAGAAACTTGAACGCTTCGGCTGAGGTGCTATGGTTGGATGAATGAAGATGTTGAATGTAGAAGAAGACGGGGTCCAAAGTGGACGGACCCCATTAGTGACGGGTGGGGATCAGGTAATCGGATGTCGAGAGGATGCCGCAGCTGTGGCAGTAGCAGTAGCAGTGCGTAGAGTCATTGGCGGGGCAAATCGAAGTTGCCGTGACGCTCTTGAGGGAAAGCTCGGCACCCGGAAGTACGTACTGGGTTGTCCATACGGCTGGAATTATCACGTGACCCGGTCGGTCGCCTCCGTCGGTGCCAGTCACGACTCCAGGTCTCTTGCGTGCATCGATTGAGTTGTTTCGTTTGACGTGCAGTACACCTGTGCCTGGCACCTGACGCGTTGGCTTGACGCGACGAATCAAAACGGCGTGTCAAGTCACAAGTTACTCCATTGGACTTTACTATGGTAGGCACTTATTAATCTCTCTTCTGTGGTAACGACTTCATCCATAACGTCAGTCAGCAGCAGGAGATAGCCTACCCAAGTCACATGCCTCACCAGTAGTCAGTCACCAGTGTTCAGTACCTCATTGTATTGGCTCAATTGATCATATGCAAATTAGGTTCGAACGAGGTATTATGGTACAGGATAGTCCGATGCAGATGAGCCGTGTGAAGTACCAACAAAAGGAGCAAAACTGAAAGAGGCGGCAGCCCACATCACCCTCAATTAATTCTAGAGGCCAACAGAAATGGCCGTACTTCCAACCTCGTCGACATACAGCTGCCATGCCTCATTCTACCTCTCGAGCTCTTGCACATGCAAAGTGGACCAGGGGAATCATAGAAACGACAAACAACCCAAATACGCAGCACCCGACAAGAAAATCCACAAGAGCCGAGGCGAAAGACGATGCCTCCCATCCACATACATCCTAACGGCGAACGTCATCATCATTATGCCGCTTATTTGCTGTGCACCTTGGCCTTGAGCTTGCCGATGAAGGCACTCAGGCGGTTCTTCTTCTTCTTCTCGGTGCCCGAAGGGCTCTCGGTGGCCTTTGTATTGCTTGGTGTCGTTGACTCGGGAACGGAGGACGGGGCCTTGGCAGGGGTGGTGGGAACTTCGGGCTCCTTGGTGGAGGTGAGGCTGGCGCCGTTGGCACCGTTGGCGGTTGTGTGAACACCGTTGGCACCGTTAGCCTCCTTTGTAGAGTCATCCTTGGTGACAGCAGCCTTAACCTCCTCCTTAGCGAGCTTAGCCTCCTCCTTGACGGCCTCAGTCTTGGTCTTCTCGCCCTCCTTGACTTCTTCCTTGGTCTCCTTGACTTCCTCCTTGGCAGCCTCAACCTTGGGCTTCTCGGCCTCGACCTTGGTCTCCTCACCAACGGCGGGAATAGGCTTGACCTCCTTGAGGAGCTCAGCCTCGACCTCCTTCTTCTCGATGACAGCCTCGGTATTGGCGGCAGCCTCGGGGCTCTTGCCGGCCTCGGCGATAGACTCCTTGACGACGGTGGGAACCTCGGGAGCGACCTCCTCACGGGTCTCCTCCTTGGTCTGACCGCCGATGGCCTCCTGAACGCTCACAGGCAGGCTCTCCTTGACGGGCTCGGGGAGCTGAGCAGCGGCGTCAGTGGCGGCAACGGTAGCCTGCTCAACGTGAGGAGCAGCAGCCTCGACGACAGTGTCCTTGGCATTGATGGCGGCGGCAGCGGCGAGACCACCAATAGTGGCAGCGGTGGCAACGACGACGCCAGCGGCCTCAGTCTTCTGAGTGCCGAATCCGGCGGTGCCCTCAGAAGTCGAGGGAGCGGTGGGGACCTTCTCGAGGAGCTCGTCCTCAACAACGGCTTTCTCCTGGACGGCCTCGGGGTTTGCGCTGGCCTCAGGCTCGGCGTGGGCCTTCTCTTGGCTCTCCTTGACAATTTCGGGAACCTCGGCAGTCTTGGTCTCGAGAGGAACCTCGGCGGCCAGAGCGGCGGTGGTGGATGTGGGTGCGGCGCTGTTGATGGTGGCATCCGCGGTCGCAATGGGCAAGCTGGACTCGGGGATCGTGTTGCTGGTAACCTCAGGGACGGTGGTCTCCTCCTTGGAGAGGCCGGGCAGAGCGCTAGAGTCCTCGTAACCCTCCTTGTCAAGCTTGACGTGCTCGTTGATATCGCCAGCCTTGACAGACGCGGGGAGGGGTTCGCCAGGTGCGACGGTTACGGGCTCAGCGGTAACATCTTGGGCGGGGATAGGGTTCACACCAATGAACTTGTCAAGCTCGTTGGCGGGGGTGACGGGGAAGCCGCCGGGAATGTCGGAGGGGGTAGCCTGGGGGAGCTCCTCCTTGTTCTCGAGAGGCACGTCCTTAGCCAAGGCGGCGGTGGTAGATTCGGGAGTAACAGTGTTCATGACTGCGGCGGTGGTATCCTCCTTAACGATTTGATCGGGGGTGAGAAAGTTGTTTACGTTGCCCTCGTGATCAGGTTCTTGAGGGGCAGTGTGATCTGTGATCCAGTTGTTGTCGACGACAAACTATAGAGGGGGGAGAGAAAGCAAGTCAGTAAAAATTGTCAACAATGACGATGTTTTTAAGCGAAATCCGGTGGGCAGCACAGCGGTGGTGTAATGGGTCCCTTGGGGGGCAGATATGATGACGCGCGGCGAACCAAATGTGGGAGATCAGCTGGGAGCGCGATCTGGGTGTCCCGGATGGTTATAAAGGCCAGGTGAGGAAAGATAGCCCGTATCCGCCAGAACAAGAATCCAGGCAAATTGGAAGGCGGTGGTTCCTGGCGCTGTGCGCTGCCGCTTGTTCCTTGGCCGCGGGCATGGCTGTTGGTTCCTGGCCTGGGCTAGCACGGCTGGGTGGTGGTGACCTTGGTGGTGCTTGTCCTTGTGTACCCTGGGTGCCTTGGGGTGTATCCAGGTGAGTGCGCCGTGTTTGGTGGCACCTAGTCTGGAAGGCTAGCCCCGAAGTTGCTAGACATTTTGGCACATTGTTGTGTGATGAAAGGTGCCATGGTCCTTGGTGGCTGCTGGTGCTGGATCCTGCCGCTCTCCGGTGTCTCTCTTCTTTCTTGCGTCGCAATTTGCGAAAAGGCCACACGCAGCTGCGAACGCGACCATGCTCACATGGGGGACCCTGGTCAAGATTGACGCTCTTTTCGCTCCCCACAGAATACAAAAGGAGCAATGAACCTGGAAAACCTTGTTCATTGCTTTTTTGGACCTGTGGAAAAGCGGAGCCCCCAACCCGCCGCTCTGCTCGGGATCCGCCAGCCAATCTTGCCAATTGCCCACCTGGAGCCACCGTCAAGCGTCAAGACTCAAGGCAACCACGCCGCTGCTGTGCTTCTGCCGCAGTAAGCTGCTGCAAGAACTGGTGGGTTTGCGTCATTCGGAGCCGGGATAGTCGGCCAGCAACAACCAGCCTCCGAGACCCGCGTATGACTCTTCTTTTTCTTTCTCCAATTTACCCATTACAGCCATGTGCAGCTCCAGTCTGGAATATGTTTTGCAGCCCCGACTGCGCAGGCAATACGCCGGGGAAAAGCAGACAGAGCAGAAAACCCCAACGGGAAAGCAGCGGCGTTAGCGCGAAATAAGCCGACAACACAATGTGGCCGTAGGGGCAATAGTGAGAAGAGTCGAGAGAAGACCGAAAAAGACCCCAGCAGAATTTGTGTGGCTCAGCGGAGCGCGAAGCAAATTGCGTGAGGGCCAGGGGCCTGGACACGCCAAATTGCGAGATGGTGATAAAAGCCCGATCCTATGACGAGCCGCAACCGAGCTGTGTGGCCTGCAGCTGACGGGGAAGCTGGAACCAGAGCTGCCCTGGAGCTGGGGAGAAGCTTCCACCAGTAAATGGCCTGGCAGCCCAGCCCTTCCCTTCATCCCCCTCCAAGACGGGGGAACAGCGATTGCGATTGATGGGACAAGGGACCTGGATGGGCGCACGGATGCTGTCGCGGGCTGAGCGATGCGGCGTTGCTGCTTTCGATCGGAGCCCTTGTTCGCGGTCTCATCCAACCCTCTATCGACTCCGCCTCCTGTGCTGCTGGTGCTGCTGGTACTGCTGTCGTCGCTGCCCCTCCAGCTTCGAGAGGGTTCCCAACAATTGCGCGCCGTGATAAGGGATTCCGGAGTTGCCGTCGTGTTCGAAAAATCCGGGTGGGATGGACCAATAGTTACGGGTACAAGAGAAAGCGCCTGAATTGGCCGGTACGAACCTTATAGTAGATCTTTTCCGATGCGTCGGCGAGTGTGACGGTCTTCTCGAAAGAGCTGCCGACCTTTTCCAACTTCTCGCTCTTAGTCCAGTTGTCGAAAGTGCCGGTAACGTAGACCTCCTCGGCCGGGTGAGCCCTATAGTGGGACGCAAAAGTTAGCAAGGTTTTTGATCCAACTGGGAGGCTTGCTTTTTCGCTGGAGACGATGCGAACGGTGCCAATGGTGGTGAGGTCGCCGCGGACGGGGCCTAAGGACCATGTGAAAGAAAGTTTGCATTCCACATGTCCTTTGACGAAAGCATGCAAGCCAAGCGCCGTTTCCAAGCGCCGGACGGTAGAGAAGCAATGCAAGGAGGGGCATTGGGATTCCGTCGCATTCCAGTAGTGATTTCCATGTAAGGGTATTGAGACTCAGAGTCTAGAGAGAGATGGGCTGGCGGGGAGGGGGAAATGCGGGCGGAGTCGATGAGCATACCAGGTAAACTTGTAAGTGCCCATTGTGATGGATGTGAGGGCTGCTTCTTTTCGAAAGAGGGGCAATTAGAATTACTCGGTTCGGAGCGAGTGCCTCGTCGTCGGCAGGAACGATGTGAAAGAAAGGGCAGGTGAGGATTCGAGATTCGAATAACAGGAAGAAGGTAGGAAGGAGAGGTTTGTTGGAAAAAAAGAGGAAGAAAAAGATGAGAGACGAGAATTGAGCGGCGGGAACCCCCAAAAATTATTGCGCGCGAGTGGCAGAGAAATAATTGCTGGGGTCGGGGGTGTGGGAAGGTGGGCGGCGCAAAAGTCGTCCGTCGTCTACGCACCTCAGTGTAAGAGGAGTGGTACACTACCTGAGGTGTGTAATCACTGGTGTGTGTGTGTGTGTGTGTGTGTGTGTGTGTGTGTGTGTGTGTGTGTGTGTGTGTGTGACTACCTCTGAAGTGTGAGGTGTATTGGTCTGAAGGTGGTTGCTGGCGCAGATGGTCCCGGCCCAATTTGACTTGACCTGAACTGACGGTGACGGGACCGTCCCTGGTTCGGCGACGCCAGCGTCCAACGTCGCGCTGGGCTGGGCTGCGATGTGCTCCAAGCAAGCTGGGCTGAGTGTACATAGTGAGCCGGGTGTGTGTGAGGTGCGTGGAATCTGCGGACCGTGGACGGCGGTCTGGACGCAGTGAACGAACGGTCTGAGGTGGTCCAGTCTGTCTGCAACCTTGAACTCCGTCTGCGCGCAGGCTTGGGCGCGGGCTCCACCATCAGACGTCCGCGGTGCAGTGTGAGTGTGCTTGCTCATCAGCGGTGTGTCTCTGAATTATGACGACAACCGCATCGGTCTAGGCGCTTACACCTAGTCCAACGGCCCAACGATGCCAATGATGTAGGCCGGTGTATTGGTCCCTTTTTTGCTTGTCGGTCAGTCGGTGAGTGAGTGAGAGTGGGCGGGCATTCATTCCCTGGGTTCTTCAACAATTCATGTCTCTGGATGATGTTCTCTCCCGAGAGAGTCATCGTCCACCACCGTACTTCGGTCAAGATATGGACTTTTTTACAGCTCATGTCTCTGAACGAACAGACAATTGGCATTGGGTTCAAAGCGAACCGCAACATGTGACTTGAGCTTTAATGACATGTCCCGAAATATCCCAAAAGTTCCGAGGGCCCGACTACGTTAGTCTCAAGGAAGGGTCGAGAAGGTGAGGCTTTGCCGTCACAGCGTCGCAGTGTCACAGAATGGGACAAGCGTAGCAGCACCTTCCCTCCTCAGCGAACTCTGAATCAGCAAGGACCAGCCAGACATTGTATGAATTGTCATCGGAAGGAACACCCAGAGTAAGTAAGATACTCAGTCGTACCTGCCTGCCGACCTCAAGATAAGGTACCTGACGTACTTTTTCAGGCAATCACGTACTTACCCTCATTATTCATGAGAGGCAAGAATTACGATCCGCTCGTGCTACCCACGTTCTTTGCTGCATCCTCTGCGGAGTACTGTGCATATTTACTAGAACTTTGGGGAAACATACGAGGTTAATGGAAGCAGGTGAGCCTGAAGAACCCCCGCTATGACTGCACCTCACCTCACCCCATGTATGTGAACCCAAAGATCTCAAGTGACTCCCAGCGATGTCGCATCCATCCACAACCACCTCTCCTTGATCCACTCGACGCCAGCAAACCAACACCAAATCCATGATCGCGATTCACAACAAGCACCGACAAAGACCACCTCTAGGCTCTAGCAAGATCTGCAAACTGCAAAGTCCTCAACGCCCAGCCTCCTCTTTCTTCTCCTCCTCGAAACATCCCCTGCGCTTCACGTTGCCTCCTCATAGTCTTCACCGTTTCTTGCTTGGCCTTGCCTCGCCTCGCCTCGCGTTACCGCACCTCACCCTACCTTACCGCCGTACCTGAGCTATACCCTGTGCTAACGCAGACGCGACAGGCCAGAAATATCTCCGTCTGGTGTGTGCTTCAGACGTGGGATGAAGCTAGGCTTGCAACTAATTTCGAATACCACCTACTATTCCGACACTACCGCACCATACACTCTCAGATACGACACGCCAACATCGTTCTCGCCGTGTTTGTGGAGCCGCCCATTCTTTGCAACTTGCCCGAGCCGCTTCCTCTCTGAATCGAGTACCTCTTTACTCAGGGGGCATTGCACCTAGAGTCTTCTCGTTTCCTTGTCAGCTTTTCTCTGCAACCCTTCTACGCCCCGGTGCCACCAAGGGTTTGATTTCCACACCGAGTTCGACGCCGATGCGACACTGGGAACTCTACAAGTACGTCGGACTTGCATGGTCGGAATCCTGTGCATCCAGGCCAGCCTCCAACCTCCCCTCACCGGGCGGGTCCTTTGGTGCACCTTAAACCTCGCCAATTGCTTCCCTTCTTACCTTATCTCTAGCTTCAATGCTGGGCTGCAAGAATTGTCTTATGACAAGCCACGGCAATCCGGCCTGAACATTGTCTTCGACCAAACAGTCGCGCCAATTGCAGACAATATGATCTGACTCCGAAGAATCGCCCCTCTCCCCTGAATCTTCCAGCCACCCAGCCACCCCCGGAGGCACTTCACCTGCCATCTCTCAACTAGTATAGACTTTGCCCAAATTATCACTATCCCGCGCGCTCCTGGCACCAATCCAGCCACCGCGCCAGCGCCATGCCTAACTATGTTGCTGCCGTCAGCCGCTGCAGCTACTTCTCTGACACGGTGGTCCGAACCCCTACGCCTTGGAACTGCTGACGCAGCAGACGAGACCTCCAAGGCGAACCTTTGGTGTTCCAATCGCTTCCATTCCCTCACGAGCTGTAACGGTCCAGGTCCCCTTATACTTACATCATACTGCTTGCGGGTTCCAGCACACTTGGAGTCGGCTGTTGCTGCCGCCCCTTCAACGCCTCGTACTTCACCAGAGTATATTAGCCCGCACGAACCTAACCAAACTGCGCAGTGTAAACCTCTCTAACGTTGCTCTTATTGCAAATCGCGAGTAAGCATCCACGCGGCACTGTTAATTCCCGCTCTCGATTTCACAATCGAATCGAATCTCCCAAGATCTTACCGCGCCAGGAAATTGCGGGGAAGAAAGGGTGGAAGCTCAGACAGGGACGGTTCCCGAACTGAGACAACCCTAGGCCCCTCGCCATAGATTGATGTTCGATCACGCGCCCAATCTTCTCCATAGCCTCAACCACGGACGACGATGACCTGCTTTGCCCCCACTCACAAATTTCTTTCCCGCGTGGGAAATGCCCCAAAACCGCTGCGATAACTGAGCAGATCGCAGGACGCAAGTTTCGGCAATTGCACCACAGCAGAGGCTGCATTCGGGGCCCGGTTGAATCTCGGTGATTTAATGAAGATCGACTCGCCCAGCACACCCTTGCCAACTGCCCGCGTTCGTCGCCTCGGGTGTTCAACCGATGTCGCAACATGAACAAACCCAAAGAGGACTGCTCCTGGTGGCACGTTCCCATGGGTTTCCCCGACCTGTCCGCCATACCAAGGTATTGTCAGCACGTTGGAAGAAGTCAGACTTCTCGAAACTTGCAAACGTCCGCCACGCCTTCGCGAAACTGCGTGGGCCAGGCCCCTCGAGGTTTCATCAACGTGTGATTTCGTTCTCTTTACGACGGTTTCGCTCTCAGGGGGTGGTTGAGGCGAACAGGTCTCCATTCTCCAGAGTTTAAAAGTCAAGAACTCGACGTCAGAGCTCCCGCACGTGTCAATCATCAGATGCAACCTCGTTTCGTTTCGAGCCTCTCGTGCGTTGCATCGTTCCACCCAGAGGCACGTATTTTAGATGGTCGATGCTTGCTTTTTTGCTTAGCTTATACCGTACGCTTTTTGCCTGCCGAGAGTAGCCGTTGCAGTAGTGTTCGTGCGTTGATGTACAAGATTACAAGCAGGTTCTTGACGGCTTGCATGTGACTCCGCTCAAGGTCAGAGTCATTGACTGCCTTATGGATTGTTCACCATGCATCGCGAATACACAATAGTAACATGGTAAATTTACTCGAATAGGATACTCGTCGGAATGCGTGGAGTTCAGCTTTGAGACGTAGAACTGCACGCAGAAGTTTGCTTCTATCGATGGCACCGCTCAGATCTTGTTGACGAATTTATCAATTACAGTCTTGCCCAACTTGGCTTGGGTTCACTACTGTTCTAGCAAACGAAACTAGATAAAATCAGCTCGGAATCATTTCCAGCTACCAGAAGGAGTACCGCTCAAGTGTGTGACTTGGCCATTACGCAGACCTCATTTGTTCGCGCCGTCATTATAGACTGTATATGGTATCTGGATTGGATCGAATGAGGTGATTACTCCTATGGCAACCTTGATCCATATCTGTCCTGCCTCCTCCCTAGTATGTATACGTGGATATGTCACGGAGAGAATGGCTTTCAGCTAAACAGTCGGATATGAGACGGGATGGTAGCGGGTTGAATCTCTGCCGTCTTCATCCACGTGATAATGCCTTCTCAAAGAGGAAGCAACGTCCTCGCTGTGGTGATAAAAGGTTTCCAGTCTCAGGTAGTGCGGTGCTTGATAAGGGCAATAATTGGGCTGGTCATATCGGCTTCGCCACTCGATACTGCGCAGCTCATCTCGTCTCCGAGATTTTCGTTAAAGGCAGACGTCGTGAGAAGCGCGGCTGGATGCATCATAGAAGATTATATCAGGAACGCGTTATTCACTTGGGCTTCTCGCTTGGTATCTCTCATGTATCCAGTGCCGAATACTTAACTTGAAGGTTAGGGTGCTGGGAGATAATGAGGACTTTGCCCTGCCTACCATTATGACCAAAAAATGCGTGGGCGTGACCCATTAGCGAAATCGGCAGCGAGATTCTGAGGGAGGGGATTCAGAGAATGCCCGCCGCAGAATCTGGTACGATGCAGTTTTTCGAGGTCTGCATCGTTGGAGAGGTGGCATTGACGGATTGGTGCCCAAGCTTTATAATCATCGACCAGAACACCGTCAATGCCTGCTTACTTTCCTAACCGGTCAATCCAAGCCTGTCAGCAGACGGTTGAGCTCATTCGAGGTCGAGTGAGAAGTTGGTTGGATGAGATGGAATGACGGTAGACCTACCATAGGAGAAAGTGGTGAAGTGAAGGTGGTGTGACATAATAGTTGTCCCCCTCTTCTTTGCATCCATATATATAACCATGGTATTTTGGAGCTTGGAAGGTTTGAACTGGAAGATCTGCAGAAAGGAGTATAGTCTTCGTTTCGTTAGTGTTTCGATCTTCTAAAGGGATGACGTTTTTACAATACCATCCGGATCATGAGTCTCTCAAAAGATCATGTTAAAGACATAGTATAGATGAGAGAGGAGTGAGGAGATCGTCGGTGATCTATGGTTCATCCACAATATGGGGGGTCTTGGCGGTCGTACATCGAGGGATCATGGTCCCCCAAACTCTCCAGCTCCGCGAGGTACAAATGTCGGGTCGAGTCGGCAAGGTCATGTCCGTAAAATTCAGTAGGATCAGGAGCCCACTGCCAGATGACAAGGCTGGCCGCTGCAGGTCCGCCTCATGGCTAGTGTATATACATGCCACCACGTGTGTCATATCTAGACCGGCACAGCTTCTTTCTGATATCGGGATAGGTACAGACGCAGCCCAAGTCCCGCTGAAAAGCTTTCGAGGGATAGAAATCAACCAGTCGGCTCAGCGCGTGATATCTTGTTCATATGTTCTCAAAGCTATGCACCTGTTCTAGAGCTCTCTACTCGCGAGTACATAGCCTACAAAAAGGAGGGCTTCAGGTAGATGTGGGGAGGTATTGACTCCTGATGAACAGACCCGATCAGAGAGAACGGCGACCGGATTCAAGCCGTGTGTTCGGTGCGTCTAAACATGTCTGCACAATCATCCCTCCATAGCACTGCCTCGAACGAGGCATCGCAGCATTTTGATCTCGAGGCAATCCGCCCAGCCTCCAGCACGGGGGCGGAGAACGCACACGAAATCACCCTCATTAGATCCGGATATCCCTCAGTCAAAGCAAGAACCAAAAAGAGTTCACCCCCCCCGGTGCCGATGTGGGGGCTACATCTCTTGGTGCTCATGCTGGGATTCGAACTCGTGGTACTTCGCTAAGCCTGTCGTCGAGTAGGCTGGTTGGCGATTTGATTGTTGACCATTAACCGTTCCACCACCCACGCCACAGTTTGACCTGACCCCCGACCTAGGGGGCGCCTGCTGTGCTGGTGACAGGAATTGAATTGAGGGGGGGTATATACCCTTAGGCTCCCATCCCGTGGCGTGGAGGGTGCGGATGGGCGGTACCTGCCTGGTTTGTGGTTATGGCGTTGCCAGGGGTGATCACGTACCCATCAAGGTGTTGCACTATAGCCTGATAGCACGATGCGGCGGATTAGTCACCAGCGCGGATCATGCTGAGGTGTCTTGATACTTCCCATACTGATGCCGCGGCTGAATACAAAAGCAGTGCATCTGAGCCAACTGTAGGTTCGTTACATTGACGTGCTTCGTATTGGAGCCAGCCCCGTTCGGGTCAGCCCTGCCAAGCAAGCCTCTGGCAAGCATCGCGGGTGGTGTCGTCTAAGCGAGAACATCGTCCATTTCTAAGTAGGGTAGGTTGCATTTTTCAAGTTCGGTTTCTCTCTCAGATACACCCTTTACACCGAATCCCCTCTCATTCATTAGAGAAAATTCCCTTTGGAATACATAAGTGAAGTTACAAGTCAAAGGGCAATGGCGTGCTACTCGAAAAGCCGTTTTTGTCTTGACATCTCAAGACTCGTGGATACCTACGAAGTAAAGTTATTCATCCCTGCAGACGGATCTCTTCCCATCTCACTTCATACAATCCACGACGCAGACCAGTACAATTGGGCCTTGAACAAGTGCAAGTGGAGTGAGG